CTTCCACAAAACATGCATACGGTGGCACGCTCACCCTCAGCGAGCCCGGAGGTGCTGGCAAAAAGTCATAAACAAAGTCATAAACAAGGCTGTGGAGAGAACTGTTAGAAAATGTCAAGAGTCTACAGGAGCTGCATCTCAAGATCACAATTCTGACACTGTATCATTGATACACAAAAAGAACTATCGTTCTCTTTATATGATGTGCATATAGAACCTAGCAAAAAGAACCCTAAAATGGGCTTCTTGTGCATATTTAGAGGCCTTAACTGTAGCTTAGTCCCACAGATAAGAAAGCCAGCAATCTTCTTTAAGACCAGCAAGTCAGCTGTTGACTGACACAAGTAAAAGAGAAAGGCACTTTCCTTCCTTTCACAAAGAGGTATAGAAGACATCTCTACCTTTCAGAGAGCAGCACTTACATTTTGCTTGATTTGAGTCTTCAAGAAATCAGCTCTGACACAAGCTAAGATTTAGCTCAGTGACAAGTTTTTTCTTTTGTTTGTTTCTTCTTGTTTTCAAGTTGGTTTTTTTTTTTTTCAGTAATTTATAAATTATTTGAGCTGCCTTTGATTAATTTAGCCTTCGTGTCTCCAAGAGCAGAACAACAACTGTTTCTGCTTACATAGATTGGAGTCTGCAAAGGGGGACAGGAGTGCTGAGACCACAAATCAATTCAGTGGCAAGGACTAACAACCTTTCACATGAGACCCGTCTGTCAGTTGCAAGCAGTATAAATCACCAAGCCAGGCACAACCGTCTCCCACCTCCCAGTCTCCCAGTATGTCAGCAGCCCCAAAACTAACTGCCCAATGGAGAGTCTTTCAAACATGTCCTGTTCGTGCACCACACCAGGACAGGGAGTGTCCAACTAACCGCACTGTGTTAAGCACACGTTCCATTGGCATGTCAAGGTCAGAAAGCATTGCAGAAATCAGTGGTTTATCTTGTCAATTTTATTTTAAAAGTTTACGCTTAGCATCTGTGCATAAATTTTCTGTGAGACTGTAAGGCCTAGTACCAAAAGGGATGTTGCTCACCCAGTGTGCTTCTGGATCTGGTACCTGGCACTGGAAATTCATTTTCTCTGGTAGGATATGACTGGCCTGGTGTTTGCAGCAGCTAGGCAAACGTTCTCCAGTTAAAGCACCATTTTGGAAATAATGGTTGAGACAATTACTTCTGCTATCAACTACATTAGATTTAGTAGTGATACAATGAAAGTAAATGATAACACAGTAGTCCAGTACAGGCAAATGGCTGGTTCTTTGACTTGGCCTTTTCCTCATATTCCCTCTTCTACCACCATTTCATCCGCAGCGCTGTTAGTTCAGACAGGGCTCTAGGCAAAGGCAGCATCCAACCACCACAGGAGCAATCCCTGCCGAAGACATTTTTGCACAGCACACTACTAAAAGAGCCAGTGAATACTGGTATTTTGCCTACAGCTGGCACTTTGATTTTGTGACTGCTACTAGCAGTATATGGCTTTATAAAAATTATTTCTGACCTAATGTGCATGTTGCCTCACTTTTTACTTGCCCTGAGCAGAAGCTCAGAATGAAATCAGTTTAATAGAATAATTTTACTGCGTGTAGATTCTGTCGCAAGTATCGCTTACAGGATTACAAAACTCACTCTCTTCAAAGCACAGCTGGGATCTAAATTAAGCCTAGAAAAAATAGCTAGAACTCTGTCAGCCTGTAAAGCGATGGTATTATTCTCCTATACTGGGCTTCATTGACCTACAGATATACCCAGTGGACAGCAAAAAAGTGTACAGAGTTAGTGAAACTTGACTGTTTCATAATAAAATTTATTGCTTCTATTTATTATTTTCCCATAGAAGAAACCAAGCTGAGAACAGGAAAACATCAGATAGAAGACAGAATTCTTCACAAACCATGTTTCTATTGTGATTTCAAGAAGAAAAACAATTCAACTAGCAGAGAAGGACTGTGAGACTATCCAAATGCAGAACTCTGATTCCTCTTCTATTTCTAGAATTAAATTATAGCATTGCCAGCATCAAGAGTTCAGAAAAAAAGGGGAATGTGAACCCTAAAGCCTCAAAAATACAATTCCTTCTGCAAATATGAAAAAACAAGATAACACACTTTGGTTGTAGCATGACTTCCACAGTGAACACTTTATGGAAAACAGTGTCAAGATAATCATAGCAAAAGTTTAAATGATTGCTACCATGCATAGATATGAAACACAGAGGTAGTAATAGATATAAGAGAAACAACTTTAAAACAGTCTCATTCACCATGCCTCCTTCTTTTGCACATCCCATCTGTAAGAAATCCTTGATTTAGACAAAAGAAGAAGATTCTTTTGTTCCCTCAAATGCTCCTTTTCCTGCTCTGCACTTTCTACTACATTCCCATCTAAAACACCTTAACATCCACATAATGCCCTCTAGTAGTTTCACAAGCTCACGGATTTGAGCCACCCTTCTTACCTTATTTCTATGCACATTTTGGGTGCAGACCCAATCTGAAGGGGGGGGAAGGGGAGGATAAGGTGGATGATGCAACTCTACAGCTGCTACTGTGACAAGGCAACCCAGAGTATACCCATATTTGATGTCCTATGATCACCTGCTTCAGGCTACATGCATCTGGGTGCAAGAACCATATCTTCCCAGATAGATAAAACTTTGTGAAATGACACAAAATTATGCATAGTAAGTAGCATGCTACACTTGCAAAGTCAAGTGCCCAAGAGCCAGAAAATGCCAAAAATAAGGATATCCACATAACCTTAATCCAGAAGCCATGGGCATACATATTGTGGTATCACTACCAACCTACAAGATAGGGTAATAATTTTTTAGTATCATCCTGCCTTGCTCAGAGCACAAACAGGTTGGGCTCATTGAAAAAGCAATCATTCAGTACCGTTGTTATTCAGTGATCCAGGCCTTGTCTCCTGTATGCGCTTCTAATGCTGTTCTGAAGGCAGAAAAGTCCATAAGGAAGCAAGTATTTTGATCATACTCTTTGCTATAGTATCCAGGTAATCTCACAAACATTGATTTGCATTTCTTTTACAAAATCTATTATGGGGTGCTGGGTTTGTGATGCACAATACAGAGTAAAGAAAAAGTGAGTATTAATTTAAAGTGCTCACAACTTGGCCGGCTGCTAAATTTTAGAATACTCTACACATTTGGCATGGTTTTTATAATCAAAATATAGTTTCCACCTGACAATAGTGGGAGCAGTAGCTCCTCTTCACTTATGCAAATCATCTCACAGACTTTTATTGCCACCTACGAAAAGCCAGGTTTAAGTGATCACTATCACGTGGCAGATGCAGGGATATAACTTTACTCTCTTAAATACTGTTTAATTGTTGTACACACACTTTCATTTTACTACCTGCTGTTCCCCAACTTGTACACCAAGTTTTCTAGACACAGTCCATTTTTTGGTACAGAAATGTTGCTCAGGAAGATTTTCAAAGTAGTTCTCTAGTTGGCTGAATTTCTAAATGCAGAGCAGAATAGCTCTAGCCAGATAGCTGTATGGGCAGTAATCTCTGGCATGTTTAGCACATCTTACCACGTGGATGTGACACAGTTGCTCTGTTCCAGCAAAGGGGACAAAAAACTCCCTAGCACTGCTGGATTTCCTGGGAACTTACACACGTTGCTTTCTGAGGAATCCGGGCCAGAAATGAGAGTCTTTCTTACAGGAGGTTCTCCATAGTGAAATGGAGGTCTTAACCTCCTGTACCACATGAAAATTCACCCGCGAAGCCCAGTTTTCTCTGCCTCAACTTGTAGAGAGTCTCATCAAGACCCCTGAGCCTAACTGTACAAAGGTCCCAAGAAGTACTTGCAACTTGATTTGTCATGGTGCACTCCAGGAACACTACACATACAGGGGACAGCACGCACCCAGCTGCTGGTTCCTATTACAGGTAAGACCAGGTGAAGTGAGATGTGCAGGACAGGAAGAGCAAGCACGTACGTTACTGTAACTTTCTCAACAACAAACCTTCAGGGCAGCGGGCAGGGATTTTCCAGACAAATGCTTCATCTTGGCCCCTCTCCTTCACCAGCTTAATAAACCGTTACCTGCTTAATGGACCCAATCAAGACATTGAACACTGGTTCCCCCATAAATATCCAAACCAAAAAAGTATACAAAGGTGCCTATCTCTCTGGTTCAGCTCCTTTGCTTGCCTTTCAGGGGTGAGGTGCTAAGGCAGGTGTCAGGCATAAACACACACACTCGTTACTATTTCAAACCCCACTGAAGAGAGGAAAAAAAAAAAAAAAACAAAAAAACAAAAAAACCAACAACAGCCCCCCTTCCACCCTGAAAAAAGCTCCCTCGCTAGATGGACTAGTCCTCCCCTTAACATGGATTTTTGTCCTACCCTCTGGCCTCCTCACGTGCATTGCCAGAGGGGCACAGGGAAAGAACTGGGACTCTTTGCACTCCCACAGCCACTGAGAACAGGGACCCAGACCTACGGCCACAGGCCCACAGCCAAAGACCTCCACCCCACACAGGTGCGAAGAAGGTGGAGCAGCAGCCCTTGCTCGCTGAGTGGTGCATTTAACTGTCAATCAGGTCTCCTTCCCGGCCCCCGCGCTGAGGCCGCCCAATCCAATCCTGCCTCCGTCGCAAGCTACCGCGGTCATACGGCTGACCGGTAGGAGGAGCTAGGCGCCGATCTCTCGCACTCCGATTGGCCGAATCAGCCGCCAACTCACTCCGGCGAGGCTACGCCTTCTCGCCGCTCCCCTCTGAATTTACGGTGCGGAGAGGAAAATGGTGCAGAGATCTCTCACGTTCTGATTGGCCAAATGGAAACGCCACTCAAGCTAAGACTCCGCCCCCGACGGATAGCGTCTCAGCTGACCGGTCAGACCCGTGACAAGGTAGGCGTGGGCTTCGCTGGCGAATGGTCAGTTCCGCCAGTCATTCCCGCAGAGTCCCGCCCAGCCGCCCTGAATCTCATCCGCAGATTGGCTGCGGCGGTTGTCCGTCAGCGCTCCCCTAGCGGGCGGGGCGCTCGGGGTTCTCCGTCCGACGGTGCGGCCCGGCGTTCTCCCAGCGGCGCTTGGCAGTGGGGCGGCCGGCGGGCATGGGGCGGCGCGGCGGGGCTCCCCGCGGCCTGGAGCTGGCGGTGCTGGTGGCGTCGGCGTGCCTCGCCGGTGAGCGGGCGGGGTTGAGCCAGCTCGGGGGAGCGCTGGCCTGCCCAGCCGCGGCGCTGGGGGTGGGGCGATGTAGCCGCCGCGGAGGGACTTCGCGGGGCAAGGGGTGGCCGCACGCCTCGGCGAGCCCGGCCGCAACAGTGATGGGCGTGCGGAGCGGCTGCGGGGGCAGCGCGCGACCCTGGGCGGGCGCTGGGGCGCCCTCGGAGCGGGAAGAGGGGGGGGGGCTGTGGGGGGGGGGGCCCGTGGGCAGCGCTGGGGGGTGTGCCCGTGTCCGCCAGCTTCAGGGCGGAGGGGCGGGAGCGGGGGGCTCTGCTCTCGCTGCAGCTCCCTGCCCCCCCCTCTCCCCACCCGCCCCGGCCCCCCGGCGGCTGCGCTCGCAGTTCCCCCGCCCCCCAGTAGCGAAGGGCCGCGGGGGGGGGGGGAAGGGGGGTGTTCGATGGACACCCATCGTTGTGGGGGTTTTTTTTTGCGTGTTTTGCTGAGCTGCTTTTGTGATGGCTGGAGGCTTTCTGTCATCCGTTGTGAGTCAGGCTTGCGAGCTGCGCGTAGGGCTTCCAGGCCCCACAAAGAGCTTTCACCCAATGTACCTGCGTTCTTCAGTCCAGGCTTGCAAAGGCTTTTGAGAGCTAAATTTCTCCTGAGGCACAACTTCGGCAAGGTAGAAACTCGATTAAGTTTTCTGTAGGTGGGTGGGTAACCGTACACAGTGTAAATTGCATCTCAGAATTTACCCTCTAGACTTAATGGCTTATGTGGCCTAGTGGGGTTTTTATGGTCAGGAAATTGTAGTGTGTCTGAGAAGGCTTGTGTTCCCAAGTTCAAATTCAGTTTTAATCACTGAGATCATCGATGAGTCTAACCAAGCAAATTTAATTGAAAAGGGTAATGCTCTAATTTTTTCCACCTAAGCAATCTTATCCTAAGTAAGCCAACTTGCCCTAAATCACATGCGTGATTGTTGTACAGCTTTGTGGAGAGCAGTATGTGAAATCCTACAGACTGAGCAAAAATATTTGTAGCAACTTCGTAAACTCCTTCTTAAACAAATTGGTCTGGAAACATTTCTGTCCTTCAAAATGCAAGTTGATATACCATTAAAATTGATAGCAGGCCATCAAAAAAACACTTATCAGTTTAAAACAAAAAATGCTTGAATCTGCTCCATATACATCTGTTGTTTTGGCCAGTTTCCTTCCTTTTGCCACCCTTCCCCAGCAGTACTTTGTTCCTTTAGTATGTTTATTACAACATAGCTCAGATTTACTGTCAACATTTGTATGCATGATCATGATCCAAGCTTTAAAACAGCATCTTCAAGGTCACATTGGTTAAATTAATGTTAGGGAAGATTATAACTGCACAACACATCAATTTACTATTGCGTTGTTTTTGTAACTAGCCTTTAGATTTGCAGATGCCCAGGAAAACAATTTTGTGTAGCTGCATGGATTGGTAACTAATCTTCAGTGATCATATGAGTAAATACTTTTTTTTTTTCTTTAGATGGTTATCTCGTTCATGTAATTTTGAAGTATGTGGTCAGATCGATTGTATAATTAGAACTTCACATTAAATGGCCTGCAAATATTTATTGCCCTCTTACTTGATTTTCTAGAGTCTTGTGTCAGATTAGTTTTCTGTTGGAAACCTACACAGATTACTCATTGGGGGAGGATATGGCTGAAATTTTGCATTGTGCATCTTACTGCTTATACACCAAATACATTTTAAAATTTATTTAGATAAATGTTTGTATACACAGTATTGCGATTATGCTTAAGTGACTTTAAATAGGAAGCTAGGTTGAAATAAGCCCATCTCTTATGTCTGTGGAGTCCTTTCTGACTTTATTACACAGTAAATTACTGTCATCGTAATACAGTTTAGGAATATGCTTTTAGTCAACTTTGCTATTCAAGGTAATGGGGAAGAGAGTGAAGGGGGATCCCAAATGAGTGAAAATGCAACATGAGAAGTGTTGCAGGTTGTGGCTTCACACGATCATCTTAGGTCCAGTACCACATCCAAGGAAAAAGAAGGACTCACAATGTCATGTGGCTGAGAAGGCAGAGCAGAGGCACCGGAGCTGTTCTGCAGAAGCCAGCTTGTTCCTGGCAGTGCTCTGATTAAGCCAGCACTGACAAACTCGGCTGATCCTCCTGGCTCTGGGTTCAGTGGCTCAGGCTGTTGTCTGTGTGAAAAGAGGTGTTATGCCAAGCAGTTCTGGAAGCATACGGAGTCGTGTTGGTGCATAGCTACTTGCGAGCTAACGGGATTTTGGAGTCTGCCTGGCGCTGCTGAGAGTTCGTGTCACCAGAGCTGAACTGTTAACACCACTCACAAGGTGCTAGTGGGTATGCAGAAGTGTACTGTGCTGCTGCTTGAATAATTGTCATGCTTTTGTTAATGTGAATTTGTCCATCCTTAGTCATTGCTGTATAGAAACCTTATTTTATACTCCAGAGCATTAAAACAATGGGTTCTCCTTACTTGTGTTACATAAACTGATAGGGGTGAGAGGGAGGAAGAAGGAATGAAAGCTCTAAGAAGTTCTTTTTCTGTGTTATATAAGGGAAAGATTGCAAGAACTCTGACAGCTTTTTATATTTGCTTTTTAGGTGTATGCGGTGATGAATTTAGTGTCTTACGATCACCTCAGTCAGTTGTGTTTCGAGATGGAAGTTGGCCCATTCCTGGCGAGCGGATCCCAGATGTAGCTGCGTTATCCATGGGCTTTTCTGTTGAAGATGTACGTTTCAGGTTTCGATTTGGAAAATCCTCTAAAACTACAGACCTACTCACTTAAGATGCAAATCTTCCTGTCATGTGCTCGAATACATAAAATATCATCCTGCTTGTCTTGGGAAATACGTGACTTGTCAGAGTCTGGTTTCCAAGCACGGGGCTATGTCAGTCATATGAGCAGCAAAAGGCTGTGCTAGCCGGCTAATTTGAATCATCAGCTGTAGAAGGAAGCGAGCCTGGGAAGTCTTTACAGTGCTGTTCTTCAGTTCCTCTGAGGCTCAAACATGTGCTACATCCCCCCATCTGTGGTCGTGTACCGAGAATCTGTGGAAATCACTGTCACTTCTTGCCTACCAGATATCGTAGAGCTCTGCTCTTGGGTACTCTGAAGGTTGTGAGAAATGGCTTGGCTAGAGAGGTGTTTTGTCAGATCAGCAAGCTTGTCTGTGGAGCATAGTTAATTAGAACAAGTAGACTGAATACTTAAGATGTAATCCAAAGACTTGAAAACCTAATTTGTGGTAGCGTTTTCCCAAATCAGGTTTTTGACTATAGCTTTAGTGATATTTAAAGTGGGGCACATGAGTAGGAGCCCTTGGATAGATTCTATGTTGCCTACTGAATTTTATGTGGGATGAGTGGCTGTTGAAGCACTGCGTGAAAGTGTAATAGCTGAGCAGTGTCTGTGTGGCCAGGTACTCAAAGCTACAAGCTGGGTTATTCTCACAAGGCTGGTGAGGGAGGCCGGTTCACATTTCTTCCATACTGTAGCTAGGCAAGAGTCTGGTTTAAATGCAGGTCTGTTTAGCTCGTGTTTTGGAATTTGTCTGAAAATATCTTGCTGCCAATTAATTACGCTTCTTTTTCATTGAACTAGTAATAAAATCTTATGAGTAGTACTCCTAAGCAGTATGTTTTGGTTATTTTATCAAGGAAAACCAGTACATCACATGGTATTGTGTGCATTGCAGGTAAGGACACCCAGCAGGACAGTGGGGTTTGGCCCATTTTTAACACTTGACTTTTGGTATACTGGTCATCTGGAAGTATGATGAGGCTATGAGGGAAGAAAAGTGTTTCTGTACTCAGTCTGTGCCTGTACCAAAGCTAATTTGCTGTGATGGGTCTGCACCATCCTTTTTCTCTGTAGAAACGAGCAAGGAAGGAAGTATTTAAATTCCTCTCTTCAGTTAAGCCCTGAAACTGAGAGTTATCAGCATTGTCACTGGGGCAGAGACCACCGTGTAGGCAGCTTCCAACCCTGGTATGGAGAATACTGCAGGGCCCAAACACTCATTTTGCAGTTTACATCAAGGCTGTAGTCTAGAAACATAAATTGGCAGTGCAGCAGGGGCACGTAGAGAATTTAGAATTCTTACTGCATTACATTGGGGATTCTCAAAAACATTCCTCCCCTGTTAAGGCAGGATAAAACTGAACCCTTTTTTGTCCCTGATGATACTTTAAAAGGTTTTTCTTTTGTTTCTTTGAGGTGATGCAGATCATAGCATCAATGACATTTAATTCTAAAATCCAAGTATAATTGATTTCATAAAACTTAGGCAGTTGTGTGTTTTAGACAAATGGAGAAGTTTGTTGAATTCATTCCAAATAGATGAATTTGTATTTAGTGCCTAAATAAACCAGCCAGGTAGTCTTCACTGTGCTGTTACTGATACATAACTGTAGTAAGTTACTAAGGAATCTTTATGTTTCTATACAAATTTGTAAGTTTTAGATTGGTAGGCTGTTGGTATGACTGACACTTCCCTTTCTTCCCCCCCGCCCCCCCCCCCCCCCGTTTCTTGCTGGTACTGAAAATATCAAGATGTTAGTGTTTTAATGAGACTAAGCCTCTTTCTGTGGTGTTTCTAAAAGGACTTGGTTTTGGTTTTGTGTGTTGTGGGCTTTATTTGTTTTGTTTTTTAAATTCAGCCTTCACTTATTAAATACAGACTATGATATTTCTAATTTAATTATGGGAAATAACTCTTGATATATCCAATATGTATAATGCTTTCTCAGTGTAGTCTTTGCTATGAAATTAGTGGCAGCTTTTAAACTAACAGTTTCCTCATGGTTAGCTTGAGACAGCATTATTCAAGATGAAAGCATTAACTTACTTCCCCATGAAACTTCCAACAGGCTGTCCTGTACAGACATATTAAGATAGTAAGTTATTTTGCTGTAATGGTGGGGGAGGGCTCCTCTCTTTCTCCCTGTGAAATACAGTTTTTTTTTTACTGTTTTGTAATAGGACCTTTCCTGGCCGGGGCTTGCAGTGGGTGATCTCTTTCACAGACCACGAGCCACTGTGCTGGTAACAGTGAAGGGAGTAGACAAGCTGACGTTGCCTGTGAAAGGGATTTCTTACCCTATTGAGAACGTGAGTATCCATGTTTGGAACTGTTGCATAATTTCTGTGACTCTTGTGAGCTAATGAGAAGTACATGGCTCTCTGCTGTAGTCCTTGACATTTACTTATTTCTTACTTCACCTGAAGTTCACATACCCCCCTAGAACAATGGATCAGGCTGTATAGATAAATAATTCTGTCAGACGCCTGTACAAGGTGAGAGGCCTTTGGGATCACCCAGGGCCTCCTGTGTTGAGGTCAGTAACTTGTTTGACCAAAGCATGTTCTCCTTGAAAAGCACCTGGTTTTAATATGTTTGTACCAAGAGGCAGAGAATCCACTGCTTCCAATGTTAACTTACTGTTTCATAGTCAGAATCATTAACTTCTGCTTTTTTTTGCTTCAGCTGAATGTGTGTTCTATATGATGTTGATTCTTTGATATACTGTACCACCCTCTAAGCAGTCATTGAGTTTTCCTCAAGTGCTTGTCTGAAACACAGCACTTTGAGATACAATTTGATTATACTGTGTCAAAAAGAAAACAGCAAATCACATTACATTTTGCTGTCCTTGTCTGTCTTTGCTGAGATTCTTCTCTCACCCTTGTTGCAGCATCACAGAATCATTTTGGTTGGGAGGGACCTCTTGAAATCATCTAGTTCAACCCCAGCTAGAGTAGGCTGTCCAGAGCTGTATCCAGTTGGGTTTTGGATATCTTCTACAGATGGAGACTCCACAGCCTCTCTGGGCAACCTGTGGCAGTATTTGACCACCCTTACAGTAAAAAGATGCTGTTCTTGTGTTCAGATAGAATTTCTTGTCTTTAAACTTATGCCCATTGCCTCTTCTCTTGTTGTATGATTTTCTCCACACATACCTTCACAGGAACACAGTAACTTATAAAATATTGGTAACTGTACAGTGTCTACTCACTTCTTTATAAATACATTGTCTGCTTTAATAATTTTTGCTGCAATATCAGACCAGTTCATGTTGAGCTGTTGTTTGTCCAGCATGAACCCACAAACCCTTTCCAAATAAGTTGTTTTTCAGGTTACTTCTAGTTAGTTAATTCTTCTGCCTATCTTGAAAAACTTTGTTTTGCACCAATTTACCATGCATTTTGGCACTGGATGACTCCTGTGTTCCTGTTAAGAATTATTATTTAACATTTTATTATTTTAGTCAAACTGTGAAATTGTCAGGGACAATGTTGAATAGTGTTTTGTTTAATATTGACACCCTGTTGCACGCCCCAAGATGAGGTGATGATTTCCCTGTGAAATTACTTTTACAGCTCTCAGGCAGTCTTTTAATCTTTTTAAAAATACAGGCATTTAATTTGAATGTTATGTGGCTTTACAGTGAACTTGGGTCAAATTCAACTTAACACAGATCTGCTTTCACATCAGCTTTCAAGCACAGCTCACTAGTTTAGTCACGGTTACGTGTTGGCATTGCTGAAATGGTGTCTGGACCAAAACTGATTTAGATTTGTCTGCACCTGACTGTAGGCATTGATAACTTGCGGAAACCTTAGATACACTTGAAGTCTTCAGGCATATTTGCACTTGTAACTTTGATAAAGTTCTGATGTGTACATAATGCATATTTTCTTTATTTCCCATTAGTAGGAAATAATATTCCTAAGCTTTATTTGGTTCAGTTAATGCTGCTATGGCTTCAAATGAGCTGCCCCAAACGTATGCTGGCAAAGTACTGATTCTCCGATATTCAAGAATAGTTTCAAATGATCATCACTGAGTCCATGTTCAGGACTGCTGGGTACAAAGTATCCTAGCTTACAGATTTACTAAAATTTCTTAGAAAAAATATTTTTATGCTTTTTAACTAGTGAATGCAAATGTGCCATTCTGCTTTTTTTAGATGAAGCACAGGAGTGTTTAGAAAAACTAACATGTTTATTAGCTTGCCAGTAATGGCACTATATTGTGCTGAGATTTCTTTTATTCTTAGTAATTTTTTATATGGCTTTTTGGTGTTTGAGCAGTTGGTCTTTCTACTGGTATATTTTCATTCATCAGTTTTCTGTGGTTCATAACTTTCCATTTCCACTAAGATTGGTTTCCCCGTTTGTATTGCTTCTATGTTTGTTCATCCTGCTTTACTGATAGACAAGGCTGTACTCTTAGCTTAAGTAAGCCTCTTAATTACACAGTCATGCCCCCCTGGAGTTCTTAAAAACATATTGTGTCTGCCGTACATGCAAATAAGTTGTTAATAGATACACAGTTGATGTTTTGTTTTGCACATTGGCTCCTATTATTTATTATCATTATAGAAATACTCTTTACTCAAAAAGAGGTTGTCCTATTTTTTTCAGACTTCTGTAGTTAAGCAAATTACCTCCTCTCATATCATTAAGCCCTGTTTTAACCAAAAATCTAACTAGACCTTGTCTTCCAGGCTGTTCCTTTCAGTCTTGACAGTGTTGCAAATGCTATTCATACTTTGTTCTCTGAGGAAACTCCTGTGGTCTTGCAGCTGGCCCCCAGTGAGGAGGTGAGTATTGCTTCACTTCTGATTCCAGATGTTGTAAATAGTAAACCTCTTTCCACTTGTGTGGCTGGAGCAAAACCAATAGATCATATGAAATATTTTGCATTGGAGAGAGATTGCGAGTATGATTGATTATTAATGTGTGACTGGAAAAACTAAAAACTAACCTCTGTTGTTATTAAACCATGACTATTCCTGCAGAGAGTGTACATGGTGGGCAAGGCAAACTCTGTATTTGAAGATCTTTCTGTTACGCTGCGCCAACTACGAAACCGCTTATTCCAGGACAACTCCATTCTCAGCTCCCTTCCTCTCAACTCCCTCAGCAGAAACAATGAGGTAAAAAGCTTTAATCAGTGGGAACTTTCTTTTACATTTTTTTCCAATATTCTTAGTTAGCTTATGTTGGTGTTTTTTTTTTTTTTCCTCCTGCTTTGCCTAGGAGAACCCACTCTTTTTTTTTTTAACTTAATTCTAAGGACTGAGTTTTAAAGTGGTTGTTTGTTGTTTTTTTTTTTTTTTTTTTTATAAGTAACTTTATTGAAAGAGTAATTTCCTTCTGGCATGTTCGGATGCTGTAACAGACATAACCTGTTATAAAATACTGAGACTTGCAACAAAATGAGACTTCCCTAACTTTGGCTTCATGAAAGGAAACAGATTTCTCTTTCTTTCTGCCTCTTCCCCCAGGTTGACTTGCTTTTTCTGTCAGAACTACAAGTCCTACATGATATTGCAAGCCTGGTAAGGTTTTTTGAAACACTTTCCCCATCTTGTATCACAAACTTCAGAGCTCTCCTTTAAAGGTAGAGAAGCCATAGCCAGGGTAATTGGCTACCAGGGATATGTATTCAGGTGTGTCATCAGTGGGTTGTACCAGTTTCAATTATGCACTCTCAAGCTATTTGTATCAGCCCTGTCACTGACAGGAGAAGATGAGAACCTTAATCATCTATAGTTTCTTTTGTATTGTGTTTGGTGAGAACAGGGGGAATTCTGAGCTGCTATTTCTCCATACCCAAAGACACAGGAAGTGCTCAATGAAGAATTTCTTGGGGCTTTCGTTATTTTCTTATTTGAGAAGTATAATGGTAGTTAAGAATATGTTCTTTGCCCTGTCCACCATTTTACTTCAAAATATAACCATGACATTTTATCTGAAAAGATTAGAGTGACTTTTGTATAGTGTGAATAGTGATGGATAGAAATGCTGCAATGGAAGGGTAAGATTTTAGTTCTTACGATCTTTTCACTAAGAAGCTACTGTCTCATTGCTGTGGTTTAGGGTTTGTTCTGAGGTGTGTTTTGTTTTTTGGGTTTTTTTTTTTTTTGTTTGTTTGTTTTTAATGTCCTTTAAGCTGCAGCCCTCAGCTACTTAAAGTGAAAGAAAGTGTCATGAAAAATTCTGAAGTCTACATTTGGTGGAGTGAAATGGGGCTCTTGAGAAAATGTGGTAGAATAACTTGGTTTGGGCTTGCAGACTAGAAATGCTGCAGTTAAAATAGATGGGAAGATAGGAACAGATTAAATTCCTTGCTTTCAGAGACTGTTTTCTTTCACACCTGTAGAAATGCAAGAATATCACTACTCTCCTTTAAGATAATTTGGATTATATTGGTTGGATTTTATGATGATGGGATGATACTCCTTAAGTAAGCTACTTTTGTACATAGGCAACAGCAATGTAGAAGATGCAACCTACTCAGTTTTGCAAGGGCCAGCTTCAGCAGAGGAAATAGTAGTATCCAAGTATTGTAGTTATGGTTTTGTTTTGTTTGTTTTTTCCCCTCCAAGTTTTATTCTCATGTGAATAAGTATAATGTTTCTGTTCTACACTACATGTATATTACATCATGTTTGGAATAGAAACTACATGATGATCATCATCTTGCTTCTGTAGAATAAGAAAAGAAACAGTTGTGGACATCTAGTTAAGTTGGCAAGAAATCCCACTTTCTAATCAATATGGAATATGACTGTGGAAATTGAGGCTGAATTAATCCCAGCAAACTGATGTTGTGAAATGTGTTGTTAAAGTAACCTGTGAATGAATTAATTTCTTTCTGCCCTCAATGGCGTGCCAAAGCTGTCTCGACACAAGCACTTAGCCAAAGATCACTCTCCAGACCTGTATTCTCTGGAACTGGCTGGTTTGGAAGAGGTTGGAAAACGGTATGGGGAAGACTCTCAGCAGTTCAAGGATGCTTCTCAAATTCTTGCAGACTCTTTGCAAAAGGTATGCTTTCTATGTAATGAACAAAACTTACAGAAATACTAAGGAAATCATTTTTTGTATTAACTATAAGGGAGTTAGTTTATTGACTCCTGCTTTGAATTGTCACTTTATTGGCTGGCAATGGTTTGCCTGATGCTTGCAGTTCAGTTATAAAATTCAATGTTACAATTTGTTACTCTCCAAAGTGTTGACATGATTCTACAGTGTGTCAGGTATTTCACATAAAGGAGTAGGAATATACTGAAACCATATATCAACATGACTTGGTATGTTTGTTTTTTCTAAAAAAATACCTTGCATTTAAAACCACCAGTATGTCTTGCAAAAACTGGCTCTCAGAAATGTGGAAATATCTTTATGCCAGAGTACAGTAGTTAGTTTCCTCTTGCCCACAAAGCTGTATAAATCCAAATTTCCAAGCCTCTAAAATAACTGCTGTTTATTTAGCAATGTGCTCAAGAGAATAGTTCTTTAGCATGTCTTATGTAATCATTACACAGAATCTTTATTAAGACCAGTCACTTTTGAGAGTTTCAAAAGCATGATGGAAAAGTGTAAAAGCATGAATTTGCTAAGCCAAATAACTGTTTCCTCTAAACATTACTCTTTGGTCCCTTTGCAGTTTAGCAAATATATTTAAATACTAGACATACTAATCTTTGGACCAGATAAAAATATTCAGGTTCATAATTTCTCAGTGGAAGGTGGAGAACCTAAATATTTTGTTGAAACTGACAGACATACAGCTGGGAGACTATATGGTGGTGGGCCTTTTGTAAGGGATGAAAGAACCAGTTTCAGCCCAGAAAGCAGCTACAAGCTACAGTCTGCTGAACAGTGGTTGAGGGGTTTTAAAGAGATGATGTAAACCGGGTAGAAGTTGGCAGTTTCTTAGTGGAATTCTAAAATAGTGTACATTTTTACAACTTTCCATAATTATTCCTGAAGCTGAAATCTTATGGTTTAGTACATCTTGCTAACAAAACACTACTTAATTCCTGGCTATGTTGTAGGTTTTAAATTAAAACACTTTTTGCTTTTCCAGTTTGCAGATGAGATGTTTAATCTGTATAGCGGGAATGCAGTTGTAGAAATGGTAGCTGTCAAGGCATTTAATTCTCCCCTCACGAGGAAGACTCGCTCCATTCTCCAGTCTTCACAGGTAGTAGATGCACATTTTTCTGTATGTCATTTATTAAGTGATCCAAACTGCATCACTTCTTCATTTGAGCACAACTTTGTTTTAAGGACTAGAATGCTGACTCTGATTTATGCGTGAGTGTGAAGAGGTCATCTTACCTGTCTTGATCTTCACTTAATCATATTGTAATTCAGGTTGAAGAGGGCCTCTGGAGGTCATCTAGTCCAATCTGCTGCTCAAAGCAGGATTAATTTAGGAGTTAGATCAAGCTGCTCAGGTCCTTGTTCAAGCAAGTTCTTGAAAAGTTCATGGCTGGAAGTCCCACGGCCTCTCTGGGCAGCTTGTTCCAAAGTCTGAACCACTTACGCTGTGAAAACTTTCTCCCTTACATCTTGTTGGAATTTGCATTTCTGCTGTTATCTCCTCAGTACAGTAGTGCATGCGAGTCCTGCCTCCTGGGTGGGGAAAAAATTGTTTTCCTTGACTTGCTGCCTACAGTCCAGAAGCAGCCCAGGATGCAGCTGCCCTGCGTCATTGCAGGGGCACGCCGCTGACTCCTGTTCACCTCATCCACCAGGACCTCCAGGTCCTTCTCTGCAGAGCTGCTGCCCAGCTGGTCAGTCCCCAGCCTGTGCTGCCACCTGGGGCTGTTCTCTCGCAGGCGCAGGGCTTTGCCTCCATCCTAACGGGGTTTCACGAGGCTCCTGTCAGCCCATTCCTTTGGATTCCATTAACGTTAGTCACATAGTCACTTTGGCATTTTGTGCCCTAGCATCAGAATTTTCTGGAAAAAAGTTCATCTCTCAGTTGCTCAGATTTTTGGCGTAGTCAGAATGCGTTTTGTATGCAAGCTCACTTCAAAGTAATGCACATTTTCCTTATTACAGAGCGAAACTGAAAATCCGTATAACCTTGCCTATCCGTATAACTACAACTACTCTGTAATCTTCAACATTATTCTGTGGATGATGATAGGTCTTGCTTTAGCTGTGATAGTTATCTCCTACAACCTCTGGAACATGGATCCTGGATATGACAGCATTATTTATAGGATGACAAATCAGAAGATAAGAATGGATTGAACTGCATTGTATTACAGCGCAAGGAAATGATGAAGAGTAAGGTCTCCTTTAAACTGTGTGGAAAACATTCTGACATGGTTAACTGTGGAATTTTTTTAAAGGTGTATTTATTTCTAAGTATTTTTTTCCCTCTCAGCCCTACTTTAAATGTTAGTAGTAGCACCAGATGGGATTTAGAAATTGAAATCTGCTTGTTTTAAAAAAAAAAAAAAACAATCCCCCAAGTAATTGTTATTGAAGTAACATTCATTCCATTTTTTTATCATGTAACATGAGTTTTTGAAATGCCCTGTACTGCCTGTGACTGTGTGCAAAAGAGATAAATTGAAATTATGATAGCAACATGTTGTTTGAAACTTTTACACTGGAAGATTAGAAATTATAGCTAAATTGTTGTGTTATATATTATGAACCAATTGTAAATGTTTGATGTAAATATTTATAACGGCTATATGTAACTTCAGAGAGGATAGTAATTATTCTTTAGTAAAATACTCAGTATAGAAATATTTCTACAAGACTACAATTCTAATGGCATAACTGGCATTTTGATCTCACGTTGATGGCTCAGATTTGAGCCGCAGACAGAAGGATCCCTTACATAGAACTTTAATGATTTGGAGGTAAATAACACTAGTGTGGCTGATCTATATAGTGGAGAGTATAAATATTGAAGTAGCACCAGTCTGATCATGGTCTAACGTCACATACGGTGAGAAGTTCCTATTATGATGCTTCATATTCCTTCCATTTGTGTTGATGTTGTTATTAAAAAAAAAATAACCAATTCTTTTTGATGATAAGAGTGGACCAACACTTGATTTAAATATACCTGAATTATAGTCCTGCTTAAACCATTCAATAAAACAAAGAACAGTTCTTGAATGCATTTATTTTTTGTGACTTTATAGGTGTGACTACTTCTATCTAGTATTAACTCATCTGAAGGGAGTAGGTGGAAGCAGCCTCCTGTATGTGACAGTGTGCCTAAGTCTATAACAGTTTAGTTTTAACTATTGTTCAGAAACAGGTGTTGGAAGATCACCTTGTACAGATTAATTTTTCTAAAACAAATAGCGAGTGTAGTTAAAATAAGCAATTAATCTCTGGCTTGAATCTTTCTTAGAACTACCTACTTTGAAACTCATTTCCTCCTGTGGTAAAAGGAATTCTCCCAGACTTGGGCAACATGAATGGAAACTAACTTTCTCATCTCGTTGGCCTCTAATGTGCTTAACTTGCCCTACTGTTAGGAGGTATTTGTTCCACTTGCAGAAAAGATCTGCTCATTGAATCGATTTGTCTTGTTTACTGGGAGTGTCAGATTTGGTGGGGTTGAAGTTGTTCATGTCTTCGAGATCCTGGACGGTGTTTCATGTTGAATTGAGTAACGTGCTGCAGCTTTGCCCAAGTCCAGGAAATCTAGTTTAGCATATGTTACAATCGTTTGAAATTACTTCTAATGGCACTTAATTTGGGTGATTACGATCAATAGATATAAAGGAAGTTGTATTGCCATTTTCTCTGACAAGAATGTGTAGTTTAATTATTGAACATTCTGTAACACACTTGCAGTGTTTTGAGAATCAAATCCATCTGAAGAACCTGTACAACTTTATTATGAAAACAATTGAAATACAGCGCTCTCATCCTGTTTGATAGGCATGAACCCTAATGTTCTAAGTAAACTATTACATGATACTCTATATGTTGTTTTAAATTTCTTTGTTTTGAGATCACTTAATATGGAAGACAGTACCCCAGAATTTCTGCAGAAAGCATGATCTAGAGTAAGAAAGGGGGTAGTACATTAATAGTAGAATCCTTCCAACTAAACTATACCTTAAAAAAATATATATGTGACAGGAGGATGAATGACCACTGTCAGGTTACTGCCAGATTGCAGGGACAAGTTTGCAGTGAAACGTTAGCAGACAGAAAGGTAAGGCAAAGGTAAATGCCCTGGGAATATTTAGAAGCTTGCATTGGTTTTAGCTTTTTTGGACACAAAGCAGATGAAAGAGTAGTGTTTAAGAGAAGCAGAATCCCATAAAGTGGCTTACTTTAAGAGGTTTAAAATGTTAAGGTACTCTTTAAATAGGTTCTGCAGTAGGTTCCCTCATACTTCAAATCACTCTCTGAAATTTCTAATTAATAATTTACAGTTGTTAAGTCTTTTTATATTTGCTCCCTTATTCCTTAAAGAGAGCTTAGGCTCCATTTCTGAGACTTGTTGGGTGAACTTTCTGGTCAATTGCAACGTCTTTGCCACAAGCTACAGTGATCACAGAATGTGCTGAAGTGACCATATGTACAATTAGAAATGAGGAGCTCAGCTCTGCCACAAGAGTAAAGCTGCTGTAATTCATTAAAGTAAACGGGAAACTTTATTGTGACAGACTTTCTGAGGAAGCTCTCAGAGAGGTTCTGTCATATGGAAGAATAATATCTCTGGGGTAAAAATATACTACATTGTGATTCTGATAGGCCAAGCACTGTAGAATCAGGAAGTTTGAGAGAGTTCACCTGCTTTTCTCAGCAGTAACTCAAACTGCAGCTTTGTAGAGAGTTTCAGCAAGGAAAAAAAAAGAAAAGGGGTAAAACATGTTGCACATCTACTACTTAGTACTGGGACTCTCAATGCTTTTGCAGGATTAGGCTGTCTGGGCTGTCTGGGTTCTTCGTTTTAAACAAAGTGAAAATTAGTCACGCTATAGGCTTTTTGGTGACAACTTAATTCAGCATGAGCTTCTTCCTGGTCTATATTGAATTAATGCATTCATAGTTTGCTTAATTCAGAGGTTTAACCGGATTAATAGTTCACTTCAGATCCTGGTGCAGAGTTCTACAGGAGCTAGTTGTTTAGAGTGGCTGTATAATTAATTGTAAGTCAGTCATTAACATCTGCATGCCAGGTATACCTGGGTAGCTATATTGTAATCGGTCTGAAGTTGGCAGTATAGGGTTGGTTTAAATGCATCACCTGCTGTTGAGATGGTCGTTCTGTCAGCTCTGTTCCAACTGCTTGCTGCTGCTGTGGGTTCTAATCTGATTTTTTTAAAGCTGGTCTTAGGCTACTTCGAAGGGCACATTTGAATTCCCACTTCTTGTGTTAGTGCCACATTTGTTTATTCTCGTGGCTGTAGGCCCCCAGCTGGTACTGAAGGTGCTTTTGAGCGCTCAATACCAGTTACTTTGTGCAGCACAAACTACTTTTTGAACCACTCTAAAGCCACTGTGCTTTAGTTTGAGCTAGGTATGCAAGACGTTATATTGTACAACAGTACTGGTCCTTAACTGCTAATCAAATAGCCAATTACAATACTGATCCCTGAGTCATGAATAGCCTTTTTGTACTTAGAATTCAGTGCTGTCAACACCATTAGACCTGCTATTGATCATTCTCTTTAAATTTAAATCATCCCAAGAATATAAACTGTAAAAAGATTTATGTGATATGGCAGAAATCATAGGTTTTGTGTACAGTGCTACCAGGAGAGCAATGAAACTGTCACGTGAAGCTCGGTGAAGGAAGACAGCAGCGAGAGCAGGAGCCCACAGTTTTGTTTTCCGAAGGGAACTTATCACTGTTCTTTTGAGGCATTGCTGGAAGGCTGAGGGAGGGGGATACAAGGAAAATACAGCCTGTATTGGGATCCTGTCTGCTCGAAGTGAGAAGGGCAGGAGAGTCATTATGCAATATTCAGCAGCAAGCAACTTTCAGCCAGGCCAGGAAAGGCTCGATACAGTGCTGCCTGTAGGATTTAGGATCTAACTGCTGCAGGGAGTGGTGATGTGGTCACCAAAGAGAGTTTTTGCTTAGGGAGCTTGCCCTCTGGCAAAAGGGTGAGATGTATTTGATTGGGTCTGCTTCAGATCTTAGTTGTATACTGTCCAGTGTTTGGACTGGAGAGTACCTAGAGTCCGGGTAGCTGCTCTCGTGAAGTGCTGATGTTTCTGAAAAAGGAGAGAGTTCCAAGTCAGAACTGAAGCCTGAGCGTTGCTTTTACTTAAATGCTGCTTTGATTGAAAAGAGAAAACAAGCCATAAAATAAAGGGTTCTTTTAAGAGTCAGTATGCTGCTTTTTCTCGATAATCCCCTAAAGTCTAAACTTGGCAGAAGGGAGGTATAATCTAGGCTTTGCCTGTGCCTCAACTTTCCGTACTTCTCTGTGGCAGATATATCAACTTTCAAAGTTTTTCCAGCCAATGCACTACTGTTGCAACACACAGGCAAGGAAAGCCTAAAGCAGATACGAAATGTGTAAATGTTGTGCTCGAGTTGGGGGGGGGGTTGGAAGGGAAGAGGAAGTGAAGAAACGATGTTGAAATGCAAATGTTGAGCAACCTTGCGAGCTATTGCGGGGATTAATGGCAGTGACGGGCACATTGCCAGAGTCTAGTGTAAGGAGATAAGCATCTGTCTCAAAACAAAAAACCCACAGCATCAGTGACATTTTGAACCATGTAGTGACACAGTTTTTGGCTAGGGTGAAGTGGGTGCTTTGGGCTAAAATCACAAACGTTGTCTAGAAAAAAATTAAACTTTGTGCTCAAGTAAGGGTTAGAGACTGTCCTGCATTTTTTGCTTTCTCTTCTGCAAGCCCTGAATGACATCCATAAGAATTTTCATCCTTGTAGAGGTGGGAGAAGGCATCCACACAGGTATTGCAGGACAGAAAGGGAAGCAGGTGAAGGAAGATGGAAGGGGAGCTGTAGGATTTCAAGTCCAGTTTCTTTTGTTCTGCCAGAATCATTGGGGAACCCAGAAGTTTCTTTCCTGTCCTGTTCTGCCACCAATACAAGGTGTTGCTGTTGAGGAACTACAGTTACTTGCAAGGCACTAAACTATAAAGGGCTTCTTGCAGCTCGTGGCGTGACAGGTGGAAGAGAAGTGAGTGAAAGCCAAGTGGTGTACAGAGGAGCTGTATCCCTGCAGGAGCAGGACTGGAGTGTGGTGTGTCACTGAATCAGAGACCAAAGACTCCCGTAAGTCCCTTTGTGCAGAGCTGGCACACATGCTGGCACCGCTGCCCCCAAACCCTCTCCAGGCCCTGCTTGCAGCCACGGACCACAGCTGGTCTCTGAACTGGGACCACTCCTGGGCAAGTCTTTGGTCTTGTGGTAAATGACAGCAATCTCCTGGTCCAGTGACAAATTTGGGTCCCTCAGCTTGTGTTATTTAATTTTATTCTTTTTTTTTTTTTGCAAACATCTCCTGTAGTCAGTGGAGCACTAGCAGATATTACAACACTTCCATACTTCTCAGAGACTTGTGCCCTGGCACAGTATGACTGCTGTGAAATCACCGCGCTGTTCTTTCTACTCAGACTTGGGCAACACGTGTCCTGTGTCCTGCCTGACCAGTGATGAGGTAGAGTATAGAAAGCCCAGGTGACCACGTTCCTCTCAAATAAAGAGAGCAGAAACCAACTGATGGCACGAAGCCCACATCCAAGTAGTGTGCTTCAGTGTACTCTCCTACCTGAACTGCTGGAAAATCAATGCCTACAGACAGAGTTTGTCTGGCAGGCAGGAGGTGAGTCTGCTGAAAGTCTATTTAACACCAGGAATGGATAGGGGGTGCTCTGAAACTCTAGAGATTCTGATAGATGTCTGTAACAAAATTACCAGAAATTCTTTTCTAGAATAGGTAAAAAAGGCATGCTAAACTGCATCTGTACTCAAGAGTGGTTGAGGACAGCTTTCAGAACATAAATCCCACCCTTAAATAGGGGCTTACCTTGCCAGTGTGTTTTCAGGGTTTAAAGAGATTCTTCTGTTGCTGAAGAACAGCTTCACACTAAGGTACTCTGGCAATCAAATTTAGTAATGCCGTCAATGTCACCCAACATCACAAAAACTACATAGCTAAGTTCTTGGCATGAATGCTCATCATAAAATATGTAGAATGCTTCATAAGGGAAATAAAATTCATGGTTGGACCAAATGTTTTTATAAAGACAGTCAAATTCCACTTTAATTATGCTCCAGTGCATGAATTTATGATGACAAATTTACATGCCCTTAATCTAGTGAGCATATGCTTTTCATTAGGCAATGGGGATAGAAGCAGTGTGGCTAAGTTAAATTCATAGTAATTTAGCTGGTAACTTCTAGCCAACCCTGTAAGGTCCCTGACTTGAAAGACTTCAGTGCTGCCTACCTACTTACCTGATCAAACCCCCTTATTTTAAGTACTTCCTTAAAACACCATGGTCAAAAGTACTCAAGGAATTGGTAAAAAAAAAAAAGCCTGTCACAATACCCGTGTAATCAATTACAGCATTTGGAACATAGGAGAGCTAAATGGGAGCTCTTAACTACATCCTACAGTAGGTCATCAATCAAAATCTTGACTAATGTACAGCATCAGCTTGGAAAGAAAAAACCTTTAAGTGATCAGACAGCTCTCAACTCTTATTTCTGTCACTTTTAGTCTCAGTTGCAGCAAAAAAAAAAAAAAAAAAGAGGAAAAAATACATAAAAACGGCTGTACCAATTATTTTCAATCAACCTATCTCAAATGTTTCAGCTAGCTGACAGTGGCAAGAGGAGGCTGCCAGAGCTCCGGGTAGCTGAGCTGCCACCTCCACAGCTGCTGGAGCCCCTCTAACTGGGGCAGCCAACCCCCAGAAAGTCATCAGCTTTGCAAACAGGTGAGTTGCTATAACCTAAGGTGTGCTGGTGAATGAGCAGCTCTGCCCTCTGGAAATCGTCAGGGTATTATAGATATCCCTGGGAGCAGAGAAGCTCTGTTTCATGGCTGAATGTGGCCTTGTTTCCAAGGGAAGCCTGGTGGTACCCAAATGGTCAGAGTAGCTCTGGGTAACCTGGAAGGACAATGTGCTAGAAAAACGAAGCGCAGGCAACTGTCAGCTATGCAGAGAAGTGGATGGGGTGAGGAGGCATAACTGGAAAAAACAAAAACTAAGATAAGCACTCTCTCTCTCTGAATTGGTCTTAATCTCTTTTGTGCATGTGTGTACGCGGACACACACAGAGTTACATTGGTCTTTACAAATGAAACTTTGGACGAGGAGGTTTCCTCCCCCTATTAAAACATTTAAAACATTACTTTTATTAAAAAGTGGAAATATTTTTACATACTTTCCATATTTTAAAGGAGATTTTTGAAAAAAGTATGCTCAATATTTTGTAAAAATGGGGATTTATACACTCAGCAAGCTAATAGGAATACATCCACCTAAAAAGATGTCCAGTAAAAACATCTGCAGGAAAACTGCGCTGATACCACCAACATCCCAAAGGTGATGCTGTCTACCAGGAACTGGCTTTGGTGTGTGCTACTTTTGGAGAAAACCAAAATAAGTATGTCAAAAATAAGCACAAGCAAATCAAGAGAATAAGCATGCTGGGACACAGGTAGCACTGTCGAAGCATAATGGCCTTAGTGTCAGCCTGCAGCACAGTGGTCACTTCAATTTTGCCTTTGTCCCCTAATTGCTGGTTTTTATCCAGGGGAGTGGAAGAGTCAGTGCTACAGGGAATGCAGAGGGAGTCACAGGGGCCAGGCACAACACTGAAAGAAATGGTGTCTCCTGCCAGCAGCTGCTGATGCTGTAGGACGCGTGCCAAGCCTGTGGTCACCAGCCCCCTCCCGTCCTCTCCCCTGACTTTTAGGGAGCCCAGCGGCACAAGCCGCCGGCAGCCCCCAGGGCCCCCCCGGGTGCTGGGCGCGGGCACCCCCCAGCCCGCTGCCGCCTCCTCGGGCTTCCTCACAGCCCTGCCGAGAAGCAGCTTGTCCGAACAGCAGCGGAAAGCCTGGGCGTCGTTTCAGGGCAGTGCTCCCTCGAAGTCCACGTTCCCTGCCCTCTTGGGGCAGAGCCGGGGCCGCCTGCGCTCCCAGCCAGGAGCTCGCTGCCGGACAAACCGCTCCATCCCAGGAAACCTCGCCGGGGAAAGCAGCCTCTGGTGTGTCGCAGTAGGAGCCACGATCATCGTCCTGAGACCAGCTTCCTCATCTTGAACAAACAGTCTAGATTTAAACATCACAACCAACCATTCTGCATTTTAGTTCCTCCTCTACTCCCTTTTTTTTTAATTTATTTTTTTTTTCTGTTATCCCAGAGGTTGCCAGGAGTTCATCCACACAGGAATCACCTTTGTTTCTTCTTTCCAGCCTGTGTTTGGCCACTGATGCCACAGAGCCGATTCTTAGCAAATTCCACAGCTGCTGAAATATTCAGGTCGTTGGCAGTGGTAAAACAAATCCTGGTTTCTATCATTTCCAGCACTGTGTAGGAGTCATTGGTTGCTGTAGCCTAAATTAACTCTTTGGCAGAGGGGGGGCGGAAAAATATCTGAAAAGCTTAAGTTTTTAAATCCTATTGCTTGCCAAATTCCTTTATGAATTTCCTTGTAACATGAAACATAACCTTAGCTAGAAGATAAAAACATTTATATTCTTACCTTCATTTTTTCCCTCCTCAAACTCTTCCTCTCCGGTCTCTGTTAAAATTTGGTTTTGGTGATGTTTCTGTTTTTCAAATCATTGTAGCCTCTGCACTCCTGTCCTTCAAAAAGTTCTTTATAATCTGCATCTCTTGAAAGCATTGGAGTAGCACATATAGACAAAAATCCATTGAAAGTGCCTCATTTTCCTGGTATCTTATGTGTAATGTGAAATTGTGTGTCCTCTAGCCAGAAATAAACATTTCGGATCTTGGATGCGCCAATGAGCTGCAAAAAAATAATGGTGGTTAAATTATTTTAAAAGCTACGGATCAGAGTAGGGATCTAGAAAAGACCAAGATACAGGAAACACCTGAAACAACCAGGTTTTGGTGTTGGCAGGCTGTTTAACACCTCCCCGTGTTAAAACTCACTCAGGCTGTGAGGGGTCAGATTCTGGGGCTTCTCCAGCGGACGAGCCGGCGCTTTACCACATGCTGTTGTGAAAGCTGAGGCTCGCTAAGACGCGGGACGTAGAGTGAAAGTTCCAGCTGTTTCTCATCCCATCCAGGTCGGACCGACCGCACGATGACACCGCTTTGCCGCAGCACTGACCCGGCCGCCTGTTGCACAGCTCAGCCATCGGCTTGCTTTTTGTCATTTGCATCCATAATTGAATGTACCGTGCCACGTGGAGCCCCCCCGCCTCTCCCCTCCCCAGGCAGGAGGGCAATCTCGGCTACCCTTGCCCCATTTTTGCCCCAGGACCTGCGCAACCAGGGAGGGTGGGCATGAGGCTGCCGCCCTTGCTGGTGAAAACGGACTCGAGCGAACTAATGTGGTAAACTGCCATCCGATGTTCATGGTCGAGAGAAAATAATTTCCTGAGATTGCAAAGTTTTCTTTTACGCTACAGCGCTGAAAATCAGTTTGATGCCTGATAAGCAAGTTGTCCTTGGAAGCAGCGAGGCTGCCGGGGATGCCAAGCTCCGAGGAACGCCTGCTTGGGCCTGGCGAGCCTGCTCCTGCCCTGAGAAACAGCCGCTCCCGGGCAGCTCCCCCGAGCAGCGATAAGCCTATGCAATGCATATGTGCTGGGGGGGGCTGGGGGTTCAGTGCTGGACCGCACCTCCGTGCTCCATGAGAATTCGAACAGAGGGACGGTAAATTTCTGCCATGCCCGACACTGAAACACCTGAAGGATTTTTCGGTGCTGAGAGGATGGGGAAAAGAACTAAGTTTTCATGTCGGAAACAAATGTACAAAGATAATCTGTGAAGTGAAGCACAGGTTCTCAGATTAAAGTCTAAGATAAATGTCAGCTTTTGGCAACAGAGCACTGATGGTCAGGATGGGGAGGGATAGGTGGAGGGGACCACGCACAGAGTGGGCACTCTTCCTCCAAGTAGACAAGGAGAACAGAAGTGGAAAACCCTTCCAAAACAAAAATTTTGGTTTTGAAATGCTGAAAATATTCCATCTGAAGGGATACTTCTATGTCCTTACTGAGTATATTGCAGAGCCAAATAGCAAGTAACTGTGATATAGTAAATAGTTAAAGGGAAAAATATTTATTTTCATTTTCGTATGGATCCAGGTATGTCCCAAGTAAGCATGAGGTTAAAAGTACTCACATAAACTGAAAAGCTACTACAAATTTTAGGAAAAAAATATGTGGAACCAGAGAATGCTAGGCTGGAGGATTTTTTTTCCCAGGAAAATCAACACTTCATTTGAAAGAACACTTCCACTGTTATTATAAGAATTGCTGTTTGAAACAACAAGGAAAAAAAAAAAGCAAAACCAACAAAAAATACCCCACTTGCTAAAGGTAAAATTAGATTTGTTCTATCAAATCATCTGTGACAATAGAAGAGTGGAGGAGGAGGAAATGCCACATTTTCTAAAAGCTTTATTTTAACTCCTGATCTATGGAGGAAAACAACCAAGAGCTGTGCAGGGAGGAGGGCTGGAGGAAGCTGTTAGCCAGACAATAGCAGAGACTGCCAAAACCAGTTTTATGTAGAGCAGAAAAACAGGGTTCTGACAGCACAATTTTTGTAAGTGCATATCCAAAATTAAAGGTCAGAAATTACCAACGTGGGCAGCATTTTACAACTGAACCCCAGCTATTATTTGCCTTTTTTTTTTTTCTCCTAAGGCTCCCACGTCAGCTTTTGCCCAAAGACTTCAAGGTGCAAGAATGAAACAGAGGCATTGCAGGGGAAAAAAATAATGACCCAGTTTCTCCATGCAAAACATTATCAAAGCAGTCGAACGCAGCCAAATATGGGACAGCGTTGTGAGTTCCAGCAGGTGGGTTCACATAAAGTAAAAAAAGTGTTAAAAATAAGATGTTAAGCAATCCCCCGCAACTGGAAACTAAAGGGTTAACCACATCTTCCTTTCAACCTAGGTTCAGAGCCACTTTTGTATTAAAAAAAAAAAAAAAAAAAAAGAAAAAGAAAAGAAAAAGAAGTCTTTCCCACAATCGAAGTGTTTATGGAGTTCGAAAAGGCCCCATGCCATCCCGGGTCCAGAGCTGTTCCCGCTGAGGAAGGTCTCCCCCGGCGCGCTCCCACGGGCACCAGCCAGAAGCAGGCTCCTCAGGACACCCCTCGATCGAGAGGACCGTGTGAATTAGTTTTCTGGGCTGGCTTGTTCATGCACCACTTTCATGATCTTCATTTCGTCAGCTTTAACCCACACTCTGCCAGTCCCTGAACCAGGCTAATCCTGCGTGTTTCAGCACGTGGGGCACCCTGGCAAAGATTTGGGATGGGATGGAGGGGATTACTTTTGTTTATTTGTTTATTTAAATGCCTCTGCAACTCAAATGGGGGGGGAAATTTGGAAAATCAAAGAGAATCAGAGTAAGATTTTGATGTCTTTCCTTAAAAACTAAGCTATGAAAAGCACTGAAGTAAAACAGTGATACAGACTGGTCAGCCTCACTTTCTGTTTGTTGTTGTTGTTCAGCACAATGTTGCTATATTCAGATTTGCAAAAACACAATGATGTTCATGTTGGAAAAAAAAACCACCTAAACAACAAAATCCAACCCCAAACCCCAGTACCACCATCTCAGCTATCTCAATGGGAATTGGAATTTCCATAAAAGATTAATTTTGTAATAAATCCAGTTTAAACTTTTTAACCATTTAAAACTTTACATTTCTTAAAATTTTCTCGTAGTGTTAAATCAAGCTATTTAGACATAAATAGGCTTTCAAATAATTACATTTGCTCCAAAGCCCGATAATGGCAGGTTGGCTTTATTATTTTGTTAAACCATTTCCTTGTGTAAGCTTTGCTAACTAAAGTCCTCCAGAGTCATAGCGTGATGCATGCAAAATCTTGACTGTAGCACAAAAAGCTCCAAGAATCTGTGGGGCAGGAAAAAAAAGCAGAGAAAAATAAATTCCTTTTAAAATTTATTTTGGTTAGTTTGGTTAACTGAGGAGCCCTGCTGCTGGCAGAGGCAGGTCAGAAGTGTCTGAGAGCGCTGCATAACTACACCGAGGAGCGAGAGAGCAGCTCACAGATGCCAACAACGGAGGCAAAGACAAACGTGAGAGGCGTTCTCTGCAAAATTGCCAAGCTGGACTAGAACAAGAGAGTTGTGGGAAGATGGAGAACACTTCCAGTCCCTTTTGGATGGATTCCAGGTTTGTCACATGGCAACCTAAAAATCTGCCTTTGCTTGTTCAGGCCTTCACCAGCAAATATTTTGTTTAAGGTCAAACAAGGAATCCTACAGAGCTATTTGCCCACTGCTTTCCTAAAACTAACCTCTCTAAAATTATAAACTGAGTTTAATGGGGAGAGTCAGTGTACCTTCCGAGACAGCCTCTCCTGCTCTTCTAAATCTCTTGAAGCCTCTCCATTATTAATTCCTGCTCTCTTCCATTTACTTGCATGGAGATCAAGCACCATCCCATCTCTTCTTCCAATCCACCTCATGGATCCACCTCCTCCTGCGCATGGACAACCCAAGCTGCCGACTGAAGCTGTCCGACGCACGAAGAGCAGAACAGAACAGGCAACACCAGCCCAGGACAGACGTTCCCACTCCCTTCCAGTTGCAGGGAGGGTGTCCCAGCACAGGGAAGAAGGGAAGCAGCCAGAGACGGTCCCTCTACCCAGCCCATGGTGGGTCCTCCACAGGCTGCTGAGCAGCTCCGGGCCAGTCTGCGCTGCACTCCTCCACCCAGCTCCCTCCATGCTTCCCTAACTTTAAGATAGGCCTTTGAAAGAGAGCTGTGGCCAGGTGAATTTTGTTGTTGTTTTTCTTGCAGGAGAATGGATCAAGATGCTTCTAAAATAGTTGTTTAACAGCTGCTGTCTGACTGTGGTCCTAGCTCTGCCCAAAGGGACTGGAGCACAGACACAAGATAGAAAAAGGGCAATTTTTTCCATGGACGCTTACAAATATCACCTCATGCTCACAGCTTTCTGTGGCTGACATAATCTCTGTAGTGCACCACAAATCTCAGAGCAGTGAGGATCTCCAAGAGCCTCACTCTCAGAGAGTGAAGAGAAGACTTGCAAGTTTAGGCAAAAGCACGTAACTTTAAGATGGAGTCTGCCAAGTTTGTAAACAGCATTTTACAGCGTGCTTGCCTGCAATGGATCTGGGTTTGGAGACACAGGAGGCCACTGCCAGCCCTATATTTCTCATGAAATGCGAAGCAGAAGCCCTTGTTTTACCTTTTTTTTTAATAGTTGTACGATCAGTCAGAGCCCTGGCACCTTCTGCGACACGCATAGTGAATCTCAGCTCTCCCCTCCCAAACCCCTTCAGCCAGGAGGAAGAAGAAACTCTCATTTCTGCAGAACGTGTCAGTTCACTGAAGTCTCCAATCCCCCAAGGAGAAGGCAAAAAGCAGCAGCAGTGCCACTGCAGGGCCATGACCGCTCTGTGCCCAGCACTGCTGCTGCTGCCCACAGATACCCTGCACACTGGAGGGCTGTACAGCTCCACGTATTATGAAAGAAAAGCGGATGCTTTGGAAATACTCTGGTCATGATGACCTCTGTGACTTTCTGCTGCTGTCTGTCTCTGAGGCAGTCGTAAAAGTTAAAAAAGATGGAGGAGCGCTGCTGTACCCTACCAAACTGGTCCAAAAACTTTCATCTGCCCCCAGGCTGGGTAAGCCTGCACAACAAAACGCACATGGCTGATGGGCCACCTCGGGCTTCAGCTGCATACTCTGTCCAGTGTCACCAGCCGACTGTGAATGTCACTGATGTTTCAAGGTCGTATCATCTGAAGTAAATGAAACAAACTAGAATAATCCTCTTTGAGGATGCCTAGACTGTGCTGTTTGCTAGTCAACAGCATGTTTGAATAAAAGGTTCATTCCTTCAGACTTAAATCTTTCCCTGTTTGAGCAGCTGACTCTTTAGTAAGAGTTGAATGTGGATGTTAGCATACTGTGCCAAACTGTGGAGTGAGCAAGAGGCAGGGGGTGTATAGGCAAACTTTTTTTTTTTTTTTTAAGGCAGTCATCTGCAACAAAACAAGTGCAGAAAAGCAAATGCAGGAGTGTGTAGAGGAAAGCAACTTGCAAACCTGATTTCAGGGCCAACGAGTGTGCTTTCAAATCTAAGATCAGTTCAAGTGGACTATGACCAACTATTACAGACCTTGGCACTTGGAGCATAGAAAAGAATGAATTTATTTCTAAAGCTTGCCCTGGTCCCCATCTGTGATAAACTAGGAAAGGAAAGGCACCACCCAGCACAACAGTTGCTCCCAAGGTAAATTACAGCCTACAAAAATCAAAAGGAATTTCAGGTTTCCAAAGATCCAGAGCTACCCTAAATGCATATGTTATGCCTGTGCTGTGCCTTCAGCATGAAGCTCTGTGAAGGTGAGGGACTGCACCTGCACTGCCACATGAGAGGGACAGGACCTGGCCTGGGCCCTCAGGACAAATGGTCCCAACGGAGTCACACCCACACGCATCCACATCTGCCCTGAGCAAACTCCGCTTGCGGAGAGCTAGCCGGAGCAGTCCCACGTGGAGCTGGCTAGCCTGCAGGTGCTGCGGGTCAGCATGGCAAGCCTGAGTTCTCTACCTGGGGAACTTCTTTAGCAGGGGAAAACATGCTGAAACGGAGCCCATCCTTCAGAGACTCCTGCTAAACGGAAAATTCAATGGCGCGGCCGCTGTGGGTCCCCAAGAGCTGCCTGGCACAAGCCGAGGTCTGCAGTTCGGTTTCCCCAGCCGACTCCTGAGTCCTGGCTGGTGCGGCGTGGCAGGCTGGAGAACACAAGAGGGTGTTTTTCCACGGCAGCCACTGCCAGGAGTGTGCTGTCAGGAGAGCCACACAGCAAACAGCTTCTCATGAGGTGTCCTGACACATTAACCAAGAGCTGAACTGGAAAATTTGAACCCAAGAGTGCAGAGTAGGTGGAAAGTGTAGAGCTAGGTTCAAATACAGGTTAGGTCTCAGCTGGTAGCTGACAGCTCTCCTCTGGGCACTGAGGGGACAGCTAAGCAGGACTTGTGGCTAAGATGGGCTTAACCAGCCTGCTTCAGTGACAGGGGGAAGATGTCTCAGTAGTATTTGAGGCTACACTTTAGTTCTCACACAGTAATGTTATTAAAATAGCTGTTTTAACATAGCTAAATCCCTAGGAAACAGTCAGCTTTTCAGGCTGTCCAAATAGTTAAGGCATACATCCATTCTACCGTTTTTTTTTTTTTACCTTTTTTTTTTTTTTTCCCAAACTCATTGATGGCACATGTATACAAATACTTCTTTTCCTTGCAGGTTTTAATGGGAGGACAGACGATAGATGTAATTAAACAAGATCTAATCTGTCCTGCTAGCTGATGTTTTAACAGAGCAGCAAGTCAGAGAGTTAGCTCTTACTTTAATAGTACTAGTGTGTCACAATGGCAATATCATTCAGTATTGTGGGATTACTTCTGTGGAGATGCACAGTGAACACCACTCAGCTGTGCATGAAAACCATGATGTGTTCCTACAACATTACAGCGCTTCACGAGCAGAGGCCTGATAGCAAGTACAAGTTGGGAGAGGAGTGGCTGGAGGGAGCAGCCCTGCAGAAAGAGGTCCGGGGGTGCTGGGTGCCAGCAGGCTCAGCGTGAGCCAGCGGTGTGTGCCCTGGCAGCCCAGAGGGCAAACCGCACCCTGGGGTGCATCAGACACAAACACAACCAGCCTGTCACAAGAGGTGACTATCCCGCTGAACTCAGCCTTGGGGCGGCCTCACCTTGAGTCCTGTGTGAAGTTCTGGGCCCCACAATTTCAGCAGGATGTAAAGGTCCTTGTATGCGTCCAGAGGAGGGCAGCCAAGCTAGTGAAAGGGCTGGAAGGCATGTCCTGTGAGGGGCAGCTAAGGACTTTGGGCTTGTCAAGCTTGCAGAAAAGGAGGCTGAGGGGTGACCTCATTCCTCCCTACGGCTTCCTGAGGGGCTTCCTGAGCTCTTCTCCTTGGGATCCAGTGACAGGACGAGTGGGAATGGTACAAAGCTATACCAAGGGAGGTTTAGACTGCACATTAGGAAGCATTTCTTTACTGAGAGGGTGGTTAAACAGTGGAACAGGCTTCCTAGAGAGCTGGTTGCCCCAAGCCTGTCAGTGTTTAAGAGGCATTTGGACAATGCCCTTAACAACACACTTTGACTTGGTCAGCCCTGAAGTGGTCAGGCAGTCGGACTAGATGATCGTTGTAGATCCCTTCCAACTGAAATGTTCTGTTCTGTTATAACCTTGAGGATCAAGGCAGGAGCTCCCGTGCAGAGCGGCACCAGAGACACCACCAGCAGCTCCCGGTCCTGCACCAGGCTGACTCTAGCCCCACTTTTCAGGATCGACATTGCACAGATCTGTGCTGAAAGCACAGCAGGTGCCAGGCTGGCCTGCAGCCACCCAGCTGCCCCCTCCCTCCCTCTGCTGCAAAATCAGCTTC